CACACACACACACACACACACACACACACACAATATTCAATTTCGATCAATTTCGATGAATTCACTCAACCTCCAAGAATGAGAAAGTGAGCATTTTGAAAGATTTTGAAATGCTTCTCGTCATTTGTTTCAGCATGCACTACAACATCACCCATATCTGATAATACATCGACTGAACAAACATGAATATCTTGAAGCTGTGTCGCCGTCGTTCATTCCCTTTGCCCAAAATCACCTTATCTTCTTTATTTTGCTCAATAATGAGAGTTTTACACAAGAAATTTTACTGAACGCTGTAACAAACAACAATGACATCAGCTTGATCATTTATTGCAATAATTTTCTAAATGCTTTTCTCATCCACAATACTTTCTTCAGTGTGTTTACCCTTCAATAGTCCTGTTATACGAGCTCGACCGGCAGCTTTTCTTTCAATCATCGCTCGCCGATCCTTATCCATCTTTAGTTTTGTCAGTGCTACCTAAAAATTATACTATATAAACCGATAAGCCAAACAAAATTAGGCTATGATTGTATGCGGACACGACCGTTCACTCGGTTTCCGAAAATGCTCATGATGCCTCTCATCGTATGATTCCACTTATCGGGCATGCGCTCCTTGCCAATCAACAGAGCGATGTTTTTCTGATGAGTTTAGGTCACATCATATCTTAATTAGTTCACTTCTTCCTTAACAAAACTAGTAAAAAACAAACCTTTGATGGATGGATTCCAATGTGCACCGTAGAACCATTTGCTTTTTCACGAGTAATTTTATCAATATGGATAACAAATTTCTTACGGTAAACACGCATTACGCGTCCAGCGTTTCCTTTATAATGTCCTCGAGTAACAGTGACCTCATCATCTATCCTGCAACAACAGATATTTTCACGGTTAATTAAACACAAAATAAAAGGAAAAAAATCTCACTAGCTAGTATAAAAATACTAGAAATATTATACAGTTGTGTTTTTTCATTACACCAATATTGTAGTTGATATATTGCCTAAATCACTTGCTTTCTTTTCCTCTTATCACTGAAGTGATTAATAATAGAGTTAATAAAGCTCGGAACTTAAGCAAACAATTAACCTGATCGGTATAGAACGGATTCCATGCTTATTACGTAAATCTTTGGTTAACGGAGCACTCATCAACTTCCTCCTAATATGTGAAGGAGCATTGAAATGGGCCTTACGAGCTTTCCTTGCCGAGGAGGACACGAACTGATTTTGCTTCATTACAATTTACAAACTGCAAAGTAATGAATACTACAGCACGAAATATAACGATAGACAGCACGAAAAGAGACATTTTCGTTAGGAACGAAAAACAACTCAATCGTCTCATATTGCGCCGATTACTGTACAGAGACCTAAAATTTCCAAAACGATGTATACTTCAAGAGAATGCCTCAAGTCCAGATGAACAAAGGAATACCATGGAAATGGATTCGTCCATGTTCCATCATCGAAAAACAAAACATTCCCCGTCCTCCGCCTTCCCAGATATCCAATCTATTTGAAGGGACCAACTGAAACAATCCTCATAATAGCTCTGTGATACTTACTTCATGCCAAAATGATGGTAACGAAATGAAAAGTTGGATCTCGAGGAGATGGCAGATTATTAGAAATTTTTTATTTGCACCAAAGTATGAAATTTGTTTAATGTTTTGAAATAAATCAAAGATATATAAATGAGTAAATGAAGTGTAAAAAAAATTTCAATATTCTATTTGCAACAAAAAATTGCTAATTTCTCAAACAATGAACTGGAATTACTGCATTTATGTGTGTGTGTGTGTGTGGTTTATCATCATCCAAAAATAACAAATAGACAAATTTTAATTTCCATTGAAGTATCTCTTTTTCTAACTCTTCATTATCCTTAAATATAATGATGTAATGACCACTCCATTCCTCCCACTTCACCTCTCGCCTTTCATTCCCGTTTCCACTGAACATCTGGCTTTTGCGTTGCAACACTCGTTAACATTTGTTGCACGTCTTACTGGCAAAAGGAATTTAAATTTTTACTTGGCGCTAATTTTATGCTTGGACTTAAGTCTCTTAAGTCACATTAGATTTACGTGGTGAGCATGAAGTAACGTAGGTTAACATGTTGGGCATGTGTGAGTATGAGATAATTTACGTTAGATTTACGTGGTGTGAGTATGGAGTAGCTCATCTGGGTTAACATGTTGAGCTGTGTGAGTGTGAGATAGTTTACGTTAAATGTATGTGGTGGGCATGCATGAGATAATTTACATTGAATTTACACCAAAAATTTGCATAACCTAAAAAATTTATTATTTATTATGAGAATTAAGGTTTATTGTTGCACGTTTGATTGATTTCTTTATTGCTTCGTTGCATATTAGGCATTGCAAAAAAATAGTGAATGAATTTTTGTGGATCGAGAGTTGTGCTATGTAGATCGATTAGTGATTAGGCTTGAAAAGGTAACGTTGGTTAAATAAAATGTGATACGAGAGTTACTACTTAAATGAGTATTTTCTTGGAGAGGAAACTTTTTTGTTTTTTAGATATTGAGCATTTTAGGCAAGAATATAAATTGATCAATTAATTAATCAGTGAGCCAATTGTTTGCTTGTTAAATACTAAAAGAAACGAAAGAGAACTGAAGGTATGGCATAGTACCAAATGTTCATTGTTAGCCAGTAAAGTTGTATTATTATCACCAACATTTTATATTTAATCACTTAATTTGATCATTTAAAGCTGTTAATAGGATTCGTTCATATGATTCAGCCAGCATATATTACTTGTGTTTAGTCTCTTGAGTTCATAGTTATCTATTATAAATGGTGGACACTACTGGTGGACACTACTATAAAATTAGAGTAGGGACTGCGGCGATTATTTAACGTATTCATGCATTTTTCTAAATTCCTATTACATATAATAATACTGGATAAGAAGTTATCAATACAGGGTAAATATTCATTCTTTGCAAAAGTTGTATATTGGAATAAATTCGAAAAATGGAAAGAAAGGATAAGGAGCGAAGGTCATCGGTATGTTTTTAACACAGACATGAGTAATATTTATAAATAGTGATAATAATTTGTCTTTTTTAAAATGAATTTTATACTTTTAATGGGCATAAATTGGGAGTATATTCAAATTAGAAATAAGTTATTCAATTTGCAGCTTGTTGCTTGGTATCGAAATATACTTGAAATAGAGGACTAGGAATAAAGTTGACTAATTTTGCATAGTAAGTAGTAATATTATACTATTTTCAGATACTAAAACCACAGCAGCCTGTAAATAATGAGAATGGCGAGTTGTCAACGACAATAACATCCACAGCAAAGAGACGTGTCAGCTTTCATACTGTTCGGATTGTTCAGTGAGTTATTTTTATGCCATTTTGTTAACTCCAAATGAATAGAGACTTTGATGAGTCTTACCGACTATTCAACATAAAAAAGATGCCTCTGTACCGTAATTCTGTTTCGCCTTTGGTCTTCCAATCCATGAGAAGGATTGGAACTATACGAATTTTCTGGATTGAGCAAGTGTTTGAACTAAATCAAAGCATCAGAGTGAGTGGCATATTATTTTGGTATACCATCTTTCCAAGTGTTATAAAATTGAGTTTATCCTTCTTGACATTACAATAAACTATTTTAAAAAATATTAACAAGTCTGTTTGCTCGTGGTGAATAATTAGTTTGAATGGTTTTTAGGGAGTTTGATGCGGAATGTAGTGAGATCATACATTCTCCTCATAACGAACCTATGAAATGTAAGTTCTAGTTCTTTTTAAATTACATTAAAATTTTTAGAGTTCTCATTATTTATTATCTCTTAATGCTTTAATCAAGACTGATTTTGGTAGAGTTGCTTATTATTATTTTGTACTCCTTTTTAAAGTCAGTTTTTTCATTTAGAATGCCAGTTTCCCTCACCTTGTTCAAAACTAAACTTTAATTGTGATTCCCTTCTAAATGGGTATAATAATCCATTTACGAATATATAACTTGAATTAATTGTTGATTTCAGTGTACGATACAACAAGTTCGGATGGTTTAACCTCGGAGTAAGTCAAATGTTTTGTTCACGGATAATTTTTCCAGTAACATTTTAAAATACGAATCCTTTTTTTGAATGAGTATATTAAAAAACTGGTTTTTATCTATGTTGCTTTTGAAAGAAAAATGATGCTTACTGTGTTTTATAAATACTTCAGCCAAGTGTCTGGCTGTGAATCAAAAGATGGATGTGCAGCAGAAAAGAACACAAATAGTAAGATTTTAATTAAATTTTCTCACGTTGTGCTTTAAACGACCTCTGGAAATCAGTTTTGATTTCCTGATTTTCTAATTTTCCTAATGTTTTGTTTGATTTTTGTCCATTTTTGCTTAATTTTTGAATTTATATTTAAATTGCAGAACTTAACCACACATTAGAAAATTTCATGCCAGTAACAACATCTACACCGCTTCTTCGCTTAAAAGGCCTCAGTGATTTAAGCGATAATTCGACTCATGCAGATGGCGATGCTAACGGTGATATGATTTATGCTTTTATGCTCAAACTTTGCTGTATCTGAAATTTCATCGTCTTCTTGATGTGCTTTCGTGATAAACTGCCTGTAATAAAACTGTAAAAATGATTCTGCATTTTCACAAATTTTTTGTATTTATATTAATTTTGTACTTGTAGATGCCGAAATATGCAATCCAACACAATCTCATGACATCACAAGAAAAGAGGAAACAAATGATGCATTGGAGCACATTCTGGAAGTACATTTTTGTTATTCATATAATTTATGTTCCACCAGTTATTTACATTGAATGAACAAAAACTATGATGAGAGCCAATTATTGTTGGTGATTGTTCGATTGAAAGGAGTCAGTGTCATGTCTTTGCTGCAGTGTGGTTATACATTTAATACTTTAAAGATGATACTTGAAAAAAGATTATTCTGTGTATTTGACGGCAGCAAACAACGAAATATTTAAAACTATTGCTAAATAAAAGAAAAAGGATGATGGACGAAGAAAAGGAAAAAGACGAGATTAAAATAAAAATAAATTTAGCTTTATGATCACATGCATTGTAAGCAACTAAACGCCGGAATACCTTTGCAGTCTTTCCCATATATTTATTATTCAGGAAACGATTCAGAATGAAAAACTGGATGTTCTGGATGTAGAATCAATGGATGTGAGCAATTCAGATCATCTTTCCCCAGTAACGGCTGACGCCACCAGAAAGCTGTTCGGACAGTCTGCTGTCTTCCGACATTTTGTAAAATTTTTCTATTCTTTTTTCAAAAAAATTTCTGTTCTTCATTCAGCTTATCTTTATGATTTGCATAACACAATGAAAACAGTTACTTGAGTGTAAGAACTGAATATTACGCTTTTAGTGAGAACTGAATATTACGCTTCTAGTGATCTGTCAAATTTTAGTGATCTCCTTTTTTAATTAATGCTATCAACTTAAAAAATAGTACAGATTGTCAGTTTTTACAGAACAGTCCAAATCAGCAGTCAGGCGTGTACGATGAAACTTTAGCATCAAATGCAACACGATTGATTTTCAAAGCTGGCGAAAGCAATAGACGTCAAAGTGAAGTCACAAATGATGAATTGAAAGTGGATACTGAAAAACCGTCTGTGATTCCCTCATATGCAGGCACTGCTGATATGGTGAGGAAGCTAATCAGTACTAAATTTTTTTTAAAAAGTAATTTGAGTTGACATTAGGTGTAAAACAGCTCGTGTTCACATTGTTTTTTTTCAGTTGAACATACCAAAGAAGGGCCGCAGTAAACTTGATGCTGTGGCACTATCTACGCATTTGAATAGAGTTCAGGATATTTCTTTCCTTTTCGAAATCTTAGAGAATTTTCAGGACATTTCTTCTGGCGATGGTCAAATATTCGAGGTAGCAACAGATGTTTCCTCCAAGCAAATAACAGCTGCATCCGACGTTGCCGATGAATCAACAAACATTTTGTTTAGGACAAGCAGTGGTGCTGTACTAGATTCTTTTTTAAAAAAAGCCATTAAAAATGAAGCTTATGTTCAAGATGAATTAAATTTTACAGAAGTTTTATCCATATCACTTATTTTCATTAAATTAATGCGCTGCAAACTTTTGTGTCAGATTGTAATTTATGGCTATCTATCTATGGCCCAGCAATGAATAGATTAACTGAATAATTAGAAATTTATTAGCATACAAGGACTTTTTTAAAAATCCATATTCAACAGTTGTGATTGACTCATTTCAAATTAACTTATGTTTCTACTATTTCAGCAAAATTTAAATTTGATTAAAACAATTATCAGTTATTAATTCTTGAAATTTTTTCAGTGGGAAAAGATGCAGAAAGATCAAATCATAAAGTGGATTCAAAAAGTATCGTTATGGTCGATGACACTCAGACTTTAAACGGCATTTCTTCAAACATAGTATGTTTCTAGTGATCGCAGAGAAACGGTAACTCATATGCTTCATAATTTTATAGCTTTTTTCATAAGCGGGGATTTCTTTAGGAATCAATGACTCCACAGGTCAATGTTGCATGTGATCTGCCAATGAAGTCTGCTCATAATACTGATCAAGTTGCACATTCTGCTGATGATATTGTTTTGGAACTTTCTTCACAACTTAATCGTCAACATATAGTTAGTTTATAAAAACCTATTGGATCAGATAGTATGTTTGAGGAACAGCTGTAAGAAGTTAGAGATGCAAAGGACTTGAATTTGATGTGGATCTATATATTAATTTGATTAATATTATTTTTTAACAGGTAAACTTGTATCGTCAAAATATCTATAATTAATTTTTACGCCAAAAAATTTTGTTTATTAATAGTGACCACTTATGTTGATTTTTTAAGTCCAGTGAGTTTCTTCCGTCGGTTCGGAAAACAGCACTTCAATCACCGGCTGCTTTGCCAAAGAAGAAAATTCGTTTATTCAGTCCAAAAGTCATTCTTCCGCCGAAAACAAGCACATTACTGTTTGGGTCACCAAGAGTTGGTGCTGCGAAGATTGCTTCAAGCCCTGTTGTTTGTGTTTCGCCTTCTTTTATTTAGAAACGAACTGCAAATTATAATAGCAAAATTGAAGAACTGTTTTGCAAACACTGAAATATTACTAAAATTATTTTTAGGAGAAAGCTGGCCTGGTAAATACTCCCGAAAATGCAGCAAGCATTGATAAGTCTACTGATAAGGTTAGCACAAATATTCATTAACTAAATTACAGTTGAGTTGCAAATACTTAAGTCGAGCCTTGAAAGGGTGTTATTTATTATCCGAAGTAGTCCAACATAAATATGTATGACATTTAAAAAATATGTTCTTAAAAACTAGTGCTGATTTATTATTTGGTATATTTTATTAAAGGTTTTAACTGAAATCAAACATCGACTGCGTCGTAGCTTAAATCACTCTGGAATATTCACTTTGTCGGAACTTTCTGCTGCTGATAATGTGGGTATGTTGTATGATATCCCTATGCCAGAACCATTGCTTCACTCGGACGAACTCGACGATCAAGGTGAATCCTCATACAGAAAATTAATCTTCAGTTAGAATGAAGAACTTATTACAGATAATATGAAAAACGTGCTCAGAAGTGGAAGTTGAGATTTACTTTAAGAAGACCGAATTAAAAGACATTTATCTTTGATAATACTTCATTTTTATGTAAAAAGGTAACACTACTGAGTACATTAGTTCGATGCTTTATCTATTCAATATGATTTGTTGAATTTAGTTTCAACAGCGGAATCTTTCGATGCCGAAGTACATACAGCTATTGAGCAATCCTATGTTGAATCGTCATCGCTGTCATCGCGTCATTCTGAAATTATCACAGCTGCTTTGGGGAATGAGTCAAGTTTCCTAACCAGTCGTGTTGATACTGTGGGATTCAATATCAATTTTCGGACAATACCATGTTTACGAATTAAGCCAAATGACCAACCGCAAATTGTGGAACTCAAGCAGTTGGCAACGACAAATTTGCGTAAACGTATTGCCGAAGTTGTTGATAGGTTTAACTTTTTTTGCCTTATGTATTTTCACTTCTTTTAGTGACGGTTCTTTGTTATGTTTGTTCGTCTATTCTAAAGGATTATGTGATTTGATTCCTGAAAGCTACTTCGATGGACACATAGTTATTCTAAAAAGAGCAGAGAAATGGATTGAAGCGATGAAAATAAAGCAACTGACAATCTGGTCCAATTTTGAAAACATTTGAAATATGTTTTTTTTTGCAGTCATGAAGCTTTCTTTTCAGATGTAAAGGTCTGATCAGCACGGAGCTTCCAAATTGCGACAATAAAAAAATCGCCGAATGTATAAGAACGTTAAATCCCAGAAAAGTTTGTTGTATTTACTATTATGTCACAATTTCCAGCTTGCAACAAATATGCTAAGGTACTGAAGATTTTTTGATAAAATGTTTTAAATAATGTATCTTTCTGATTCCTTTTTAAGCTTCCCGTCTTTTATTTTGATTCATTCTGTCTGTCAAAATGTTACACAAGAAATTTCTTTTAACATTGGTCGAATTTAGCTATCAAAAAAAGAAGCAATTTGGTTTGATGTATGTTATCTAATGGCGCAACGAGAGTGGTTCGTATTAAGAGCTAAATTAGCCAAACTGACAAATGAAAAGTTGGATGTAAGTTTACCGTTAATGGCTAACCTTATCTTTTTGAGTGTAAAGAATAGTCTGATATTCTTCTGCTAGGCAAATATTGATTAATTTAAGAATGCAGCGGAGAAATAGTATGCACCTTTTTTAAAATTTGATGAGTCTTTGTCATATAATTCTAATCGTATTCCTCATAATTGTCAGATTTGCTGATTCCTTTGGGCACCAAATTTTTACTTCTGCACTTTCGATCATGATAGGTAGAGGGATTATGCAGTATCACTAAAGTGTATCGATTCCTTTACAAAAACTGTCGTAAGTGTTACTATGCAAAATGAGAACACTCTGTGGATTAAAAATAAAATACTGGGAAGGAGCTAAATAAAAACGCAGTACTTCTTAATTTTATTGTTATTTGTTTAAAATGAATCACTCTACGGCTTACAGGAACTATTGCTTGAGACGAAAGCTGAATCAGACCAAAAAAAGCAGTTAGCACAATGTGTGGAAGATTATCAACGAAATTATTGTGGTATAGATTATTCTTTAACAAAGACGTCTGATTTACAGTACTAAATGCGCTCTGTTTTTCCAAATCGTTCACATCTTGGTATATTCTAAAAATAAGAAATTTTGTTCCGAAGCACAATTATGTGTAATTTTTTACAGAAGTAATGCAGCATTATGCTCAATTGAAATCGCTAGATGAAGCTGTCGATAATGAGGTACAAAATGAGATGAAACTTGACGAGTTGACACAAGCGAAACGTGTTGGACGTTTAGAAATTGTACAGAAGGAATTGGAACTTACCAAGAAACAGGGCGCAGTAAGTTTAAGAAATATAACGATTACAATGAAAAACATTTTTGCAGCATGAGGTATCCTTGGATTTTACAGTGGTGAATTTAGGCATTTCCCAGTTCTTTCTTCAATTTTTTTCAAATTATTTAAGCAGTTTTCTGTCTTTCTACTTGAATAATATTTTGTCCCATATAACTATATGATTCATATATCTTGCAGGGACTTGGAATATTTTCTTATCTTTTATTTTAGTATGTAAAAGTTCTGCTAAAAGAATATGATAGAACGAAGTCTGCTATGGAAGCGCAAATGGCAAAGAAAATTGCACAACAAGCAGAATTTTTACGAAAATATGACGAAGATATTGCTGAGTATCGCGAATTGTTAACTGGGAAACAACAGAAAGATTGAGTTTTATGAGATTCATCGTTCGTATTTAATTATTTCATCATGATCTCATCGATTTTTTTGTTGTATTTCTTGATTTTCTGGTCATCAATTCATCTCTATTATTGTTCATACTTAGCACTTATTTTAATCTTCCTCCATTTCAAACTAAACTCGAGGAAGTGTCACTGATTTTGTCTTTGTCTGGAAGTGAAGGACCTGAGATAGAAGTTTTCATAGTCTAGGTACTAATTATTCAACACTGGAATTTGTACATGATTGCATTTGGAATTGTAGTTGTATGTTCAGGAGCAGCATACATTTCAGATTGTTGGAAAATGCAAAATATGCAAAATCAATGGAAGTGAAAAACATTGAGATAGGAGTTCTTTACAAGCTTATCAAAGATTTTTTTTGATAGGCTTGTAAAGAACTCTGTATTCCATTATTATCGATGAATGCAATATTTTGTATGAATCAAAGTTACTTTCAACAGAATTATTGTATCAAGTGCAAAGTAATTTAACCGTGCATTAAAATTCTACTACTTTTATTTCCCATGTATCATGCATCAAATATTTTTTTATTTAGTGTTTTTTTTTTCTGAAATTATGAACTGTGTGGGAAGAAAATACACGGTAATAGCATAGTAAATTTAACATAGGTAAAATTTTCCAGATCTTCATCGGAAACTAAACTCGGTAATTTAGAATTCATTTAATTATGACCAAATTAAGAATTGATTTGAAACGACTATTCTGGTTTCACATATGTATAATTGAGAAAAGGATCATTACAGTTTGGAATATATCAATTAACGAATTTAAGAAACCATCAGACGAACACCTCGACATGCGACGATATATTCAGTGACCTGTTCGTATTATAACAAAAATTATTGTAACATGTGTAATTTCCGGGACATAAGTTGTGGATGCATGGACCAACACTTTCTCCTGAAAAAATTAAACTGGAATTTCTATAACTAACATTTGATTAAAAAATAAACACTTACTTCATCCAATGAATCGTTTCCAGTAACATTGACCTATTGGAACAGGAATCCTTATATTGCCCATTTCGATCAGTAATTTTTTCATGTCGTAGTAATATTATTAATATAGGGAAAAGTAATCACAATACACAGAAATTCTATGTTACTATTTGTTATGAAATAATGAAAAGTAGATTGATGAAATGAATTGAGTTCGAAATAGTTGAATGTATTCTCTTCATCTGCTAATAATTACAAAAAAGTTCATACCTTTTGTAGCATTCTTAAAAGAAGTTCGAATTTTAATGCATTCATTATTTGTGCATTTATAATCAGCAGGACAGAGATTATTCACGCATGGACCTATGTTTGCTGATTTCTCTGATTCCCTTTCTGTAACAATTAATTTTTGCATGGCAATTATTGAAATAATGTATATTCATTCATTTATGGGTAAATCAAGTTATATTTTGACATCATGATAAATTAGTTTAATCAGTATAAAATTTGATTAGAAATTTAATTAGTATAAAATTTATAACAATGAAATGAAAAAAAAATTTTTAATCAAATTTTATACCAAAAATTCATTGTGAAAGTTATGGGTTCAAGTGTAAAATATAAAATGAAATATAAAATGGAACTGTGAGAAGTGCAAAGTTGACTTAGCGATTATTAGTCGAAGGATGGTTATTATGTATACAGATAAAATTAATAGACTAAACTGTTTGAAAATGAGGAGCAAATGTTTAAAAATAAAAAAGCGGAAATTATGCATAATTGTATTCCGATATCTTAATAGTAATAATAATTTTGAAGAATTGAAATACCTGCTGGAAGTGCTGAAGTAATAAAAATAATAATCGAAATGATCACAAAAATTATCATATTTCTGCTGCTTAACATCACAAAGTATTGTAAATGATTTCTTGAAATATTGAATTGATTGTAGAAATAGACTGAGGAAAGAAAAATGAGAATGGCTTTATACCGTTGTTTGTCACTGTATATTAATCTTTAAATGTATGCATATGTGTGTGTGTGTGTGTGTGTGTGTG